CGGGCGGGGGCCGAGCCTGGCCGGGGGCAGCGCCGCGGCCTCCAGCCGCTGTGAGGGGCGGGGGAGTCCGTTAATAACGGGAGCTTTCCCTCCGCAGGTTTTATTGCGATTACTGCGACACGTACCTCACCCATGACTCGGTAAGCACCGGATCCTCGGCGTTTATCCCTCAAGCGTGTTAAAATAAAGCTTACATAGAGTAAACAACTCCCTGAAAGGAGGGTGTAGAGAGGTGGGGGTTGGCCTCTTCTCCCAAGGGAATAACGACAGGACCAGAGGAAATGGTCTGAAGTTGGGGCAGGGGAGGTTTAGATTAGATCTTAGGAAGAATGACTTTCCTGAGAGGGTGGTCAGGGCAACCTCTTTTACTTAAACCAGAGCCTCATCACTTACTCCTTTCATGTAAAGGTTTGTACGTCACCCGTCCTCTGACGACGCAGAAACCAACCTGCTTTATACTGCTAAATTGCATATGTTTAAAATTGTGCAACAGTTCCCGGTGAATCTTGGATTTATGTGGTATCACTTAAGCTTTGGGTTTACCTGGTCTTTCGCAGCCCTCCGTGAGGAAAACCCACTGCAGCGGCCGAAAGCACAAAGAGAACGTGAAAGACTACTATCAAAAATGGATGGAGGAACAAGCCCAGAGCCTGATTGACAAAACAAGTAAGGCAAATCTTTCTGTGACCCGGGATTGCTCTCCCGTTACTTCCCCTGTCTTTCCTCTTGCTGCTTTTCTTCCGTTCTTCCCCCTTGATTCTTCCTCACTACCCTGGTGAGTTTTTGCTCTGTGAATCATGAGTGAAAACTTCACTTAGAATCTGAATCTTGAACTCGTCACGAGTGTGGGTTTCCACGTACAAGACAGGGCTCTGTCTGAGGGGTTGTTGCAAGGCGTTTACTGCCTTGCTGGGGTTGAGAGGGCTGTAGGTACCACCCACCACCTGTAGCACTGCTACTAACGTCGTACGGGGTCACACAATACATTTCTGCTTTATGGTAGTAGCACATTTATGTGAAGAGCATGGATAAGAAATCCAAAAGATAGGAAAATGGACATTAAAGTGTGTTGGAGTTTTGCATTTTTTTAAGTGCTCTAGTGGCTCCCAATTCTTTAGGGATATTGATAGTTTATTCCCCTCTCAGTGTTAAAGGCTTGAATAAAGTGAAGTGTTTCCTCTGTCCATTTATGGGGTTCTTTTCTCTGTCAAAAAAAATACAAATGCCAGATTAACTTTGTGGCAACTTTCCTTAGACTTTTTTCCTGGACTTTTAAGGAGTCATAGAATATCTCTAAGCTGGAAGGGACCCATAAGGATCATTGAGCCCAACTCCCTGCTCCTTGCAGGACTAACTAAAACTAAAGCATGTGACAGAGCGCGTTGTCCAGATGCTCTGTGAGCTCTGGAGGCCTGGGGCTGTGGTTGCTTCCTGGGGAGCCTGTTCCAGGGACTGACCTGCCTCTCAGTGAAGAACTTTTCCCTCGTGTCCAATCTGAACTTCCCCTGAGGCAGCTTCATTCCATTTTCTTGTGTCCATTTTCCTCCTGATACCTCCAACTTTCACATCTTTTGCCTTCCCAGTCAATTCCAGTCCGTTGAATGTCTTCTCTTCCCTTTCCCATACGATGTTTTTCATGCTTTTTGTCACCCACCTCAGCCATTGCCTTGTACCATTTCCAGGATGGCATGTCTTTCCCTCACGATCCCAGGTGAAAGTTGCAGCTGCGAATCACGTGACGTGTTTTCTCTCCCATCCGCCTTCCCGTTCGCTGTGTGAAATTCATCAAGGAGCTCTCTAGTCTCAGCTGGAGTAATTACTGTAATAAATTGTCTTCGAGAATATCAGGTGCTCCCGCCGTGATGAGCAGCATAAACCAGGGATTTGTTCCAGAGTTAGAGCAACCGAGCACGCAGCATGACGTGACCGTGTGGCATGAGACGGAAGATTGGCGCAGGACCTTCCTCAGCCTAGTAACTGGTTTTTTTCCTGGGATTCTTTCTTTCCTTTTTTTTTTTTTCTTTTCCCCCCCAATGTAGCGGCTGCATTCCAGCAAGGGAAAATCCCACCTACACCCTTCTCGGCACCGCCTCCCGCAGGAGCCATGATCCCTCCTCCTCCCAGCATCCGTAAGTCTCCACTGGGCAGTTTTGAACTGGGGTGGCAGCCCTTTATAGCTGTGTTGCATGTTTCCTGGACTTGGAAAGAAAAGTCCTTTTAGCTTGAAATCAAGCTGAGATGTTTGGAGCTTGTGAATGCCAAAAGGTAGAGAATGCTTTGTGAGAGTGTTTCACAACCATTAGTTTACAACCTTTAGTTTGTCTTATTGTTGTGATGTTGAGTCCATTGATAGAAATGTGTGCCTCCTCATTTCTGCTCATCTAGGTGGCTTCATGAAACCTTCCAGCATGGGGGTTTGTTGTGTTTTGGGGTAGCTGGTTTTTGGTTTTTGTTTTTTGGTTTTGGTTTTTTTTTTTTTTTTTAATAGAATAGGATTGATAACCTTTTGCACTTCAGCTGGCAAATGGCTGAGATCTCTTTCTGCTTGGGTCTCTATTCGAGACCTCTATAGCTCTCTGTTAGAACCCTGCTGTTGGAAAAGTGGTGCTCGTGTGCATTGGGTATGCAAAGCTAGAATCATAGAATTGTTGGAAGGGTTGGAAGGGACCTTTAAGATCATCTAGTCCAACCATCAATGTAACTGTGCTTATTCTCCAGACCCCTCACCAGCTCCGTTGCCCTTCTCTGGACTCGCTCCAGCCCCTCAATGTCTTTTTTGTGGTGAGGGACCCAAAACTGGACACAGCACTCAAGGTGGGGCCTCACCAGTGCCGAGTACAGGGGGACCATCACCTCCCGAGTCCTGCTCACCACAGGCCAGGATGCTGGTGGCCTTGGCCACCTGGGCACACTGCTGGCTTGTGTTCAGCCGAAAGACCCCCAGGTCCTTTTCCACCACAGCTCCAGCCACTCTGCCCCAGCCTGGAGTGCTGTGTGGGGTTGGTGTGACCCAAGGGCAGGACCTGGCACTTGGCCTTGTTGAACCTCATCCCATTGGCCTTGGCCCATCCAGCCAGCTTGTCCAGATCCCTCTGCAAGTTACAAATAAAAGCTAGAATATTCTTTTTCCTGTTCAGTTTTTGGCACCCGAACTCAGAGCTGAAAATGAAAATGAAGGTAGGCGGTTGTAAAACAATCTCAGACACCTTAATTACCAAAATCCCCTTTGAAGTTTAGGAGCTATTTTGCACTGCATGTTGTTGATGAATGTGAAAGCAGCCAGATGTGTAACCTCTCTGTGTCTGTGTCCAGCTGGCCCCCCACGGCCTGGCATGATGCCGGCCCCTCATATGGGTGGCCCCCCAATGATGCCAATGATGGGCCCACCCCCGCCAGGGATGATGCCGGTTGGACCTGGTAAGTGTGGAGACGGGTAACTATAACCGCACGGTCTGGTGTGCAGGGTGCTGGGTTGTATTTTCTGTCTTGCTGGGCAGCAGAGGGTTGTGAAAGGCTCAGTGGGAAGCGTGAAGCAGCTGCAGGGCTTGGGTGGTGGCTTCTGGCTCGTGTCACTTCAGACGCTGGGTTAGACCCAGACGGAGGGACAGCCCCGAGTGAAACTATTTCAGTTTGCCTGTACTGTGCATGCACGTTTGCTGCTCCATTACCTCTGCAGGGCAAGACATAAAACAGTCTTACAGCTGCTGATTAAAGTGCCTTTGCTACTTGTTGGGAGTTACCAGTCCCTCTGTACAACCAAGTTATTGCTCTGGTAAATTGTAGCTTTTTCTACCTCTGCTCTTAGCAATAGAATCTTTAATTCTTTACGAATTCTGTTTGTGGTGCTTACTTTTCTGCACAAGGGCTACATTTCAGCACTAGATTAATTTTATTATTTAAAATGTCTCAAGATGATGTGTTCCAGAGAAACGAAGTGCCTTAAAAAGTTTTCTTTCAGAATTGCAAAGGCAAACTAAAATGTCTCTGATCCATTCCGCTTTTGAGCTTACTGGCATTTGAAGAATTCTCAGAGGAATTCTTATTGAAGCAGTTACTGGAACAAATCTGGAGGAATACACACATGCACACTGAAAGTAGCGAAGTGGCTTTGCAATTATTGGCTTGCTGGTAGAAACTCTTCTTTAAGTGTTTTTTAAAGGCACAAAATATGGGCGTAATCTGCCACATTAGGCAGGGTAGTGGCTGCCTGAAAGCAAATGGAGGAGTTGGATGGAAACCATTATTTCAATGCTTTTTAGTAGATCACCTGCTTTTCTTTGGTAATGCTGTTACCCAGCTACAAGGAGTATACTGGTCTTTTTTTGTTTTTTTAACAAAACACACTTAACTGGATGATTTCACACTTTTTTTTCCCGATTCGGTAATTAAGTTAGTGGCTCTTTGGAATGGCTGAAAAGAATTTAACAGTGAATATTGTCAAAAGTGAACATATAACCTGGGAACTGGGTTCTTCCTCTACTAATTTCTGATATCCTTCAGGGCAATGTGATCCATCTCAGTCAATTTCCAGACCAAAGCTTACACACTTGTGAAATGAAAGTTCCCTCAAGGGTGGGAGAGAGAACTCGGCCGTTGCTGCCCCTGAGAGCTCTTCTCTAACGTCCTCTCTTCCTCCTTGTAGCTCCAGGGATGAGGCCACCCATGGGAGGACACATGCCCATGATGCCAGGGCCCCCGATGATGAGACCGCCCTCCAGACCCATGATGGTGCCAACCAGGCCAGGAATGACCCGTCCAGACAGATAAAGGTGGAAATGGAGCTGCCTTTTCTTTTTCATATTACGATCTTCCATCTGATAAATTACCATAGACCTATATCCCTAGGATTTTGTATTAAAACAGTGTGTAGAGTAGATCTGCTGTCACTTCAGATCGCAGACAGTTTGACCTGGACACACACTGGACTGATCCTTTTGTACCTGGTCTGGTTTTTTTTTTTCTTGCATTTTGTTTGTTTTGTGCCCCCCCCATTGAATCTTAAACCACAACAATAAAACATTGATGCTGGTTTACAGCCGGAGAATCTGAGCCTTGCTCTGTGTGTGGGTTTTCTGCCTCTTTCTGCAGAAAGAGGTGTCTGTTTTCTTTGTTCTGTCTCTCTGTGTCTTGCACACATTTTTTCAGGGTTTTTTTTTCTCCTTAGTTGTTAGGTAGTCTCTCTTTTTCATGTCATACCCCTTTACAGATGGATTACTATCTGCATTTTCAATTGTTGTTTCAAAACATACGTGTTTTTAATTAAAAAAAGGGCCATTAGAAAAGACTGCAGTGCTCTCTCTAACGGGAGACTGCACCGTTCAGTGACTTTACTAGCACAAAATAGGATGAACTTATTAAAATGTTGATTCTCTGCTGAGGGAAGCAAAGAGATGCTGTTAAAGGGCTACTCCTTACAGTAATTGTTTGGGTGCTTTTCTATTGCTACTGGGGCATTTGTGTGGACACATTTAATGACATTATTGGAGTAGTTGAATCAGTAGTTATTAACACTCAGTTCCCTCCTTAGCAAAAAGGGATGTGTTGATGAAAACATACCCCAGGCCTGTTAGTTTATTAAAAGGACTTGGCTTTTGGTGAGCTGCGTGTAATGCAGGTGCACAATTCCAACTGAATTAAAAGAATTTATTCTGTTTGTGTAACCGGCTCCTGTGTGCGTGTCGGTTGTCATCCGTTTCAGTCTGCAGAAGTGTCCTGCTCATTCTTCACATATTTGCCTCGAACATGAAAGCGTGGAAGTGATTTGCATGTTCAGTTACCAGAACTGCGAGAGCTCCTTTTCTGAGCTGCTGTCTGCCACGGGACAGGAGAGTCCAATCGTTCAGAGATTATATTTCATAGGATCAGAGAATGGTTTGGGTGGGAAGGGACCTTCAAGCCCCCCCAGTGCCACCCCCTGCCCTGGGCAGGGACACCTCCCACCAGACCAGGTTGCTCCAAGCCCCCTCCAACCTGCCCTTGAACCCCTCCAGGGATGGGGCAGCCACAGCTTCTCTGGGCAACCTGGGCCAGGCTCTCACCACCCTCACACCAAACAAGTTCTTCCCCACATCTCAGCTCCATCTCCCCTCTTTCAGTGTCAAATAATTAATAGCTTGATATTTAATAGCTGTGTTGAAGAGACATTTAGATGAGGCAAAAGTTAGAGGATGTCTCTACAACAACCCGTACCTGGAGCAGACCTTGGGAAGGAGGGACAGAGGGAAGAGGTGTGGAACCAGCAGTTGTGTGTCTGCATTTCCACCCGCGGCTCCGAGGGTGCGACCCACCAGCCTTATTGGAGAGAGGGCACAACCCCCTAATTAAAAGCAGCCTAAAATCGCTGACGCCTTCACCCTCGGGCTTCTCCTTGATGCTTCTTGCGTGTCCTTTAGCACCGGGGGGGAGGGAGGGTGCCCCTGGGAGGGTGGTCCCATGTGTGTA